TTAATTTAAATAAGAGAACAACACCTCACCATGTAAACACAGCACACCTTCAGGAATGAGTAAGTCCGTGGTCTCTCACACTGCTTAAAAGTCAGGAACACACTCCACCAGACTGATGTGACCCTTCCTTGTAACCTTGTTGCAACATGGATTACAAAGCAGAGTACAGTACTGGGGGGGCTGTAATAGGCAGTTCTTCTCTAGAAACACAGGGTCCGGTCAGGCATGTAATAGTTTCACAGACCTCACCAGGGAGGGTCAATAAAGTTCAGTTGCTAAATCAGCGTTTTTGAAATCAACTCAAAAAAGACTCAGAGAGAAATATTGACTCTCAGAGACTTAACGTCCAATGACTTTCGAAAACAACCAGAGGGCATCACACACAGAGTACATTTGTATTATAACAAAACAAGTCTATGTGTTTTATTTCAAATGATTTTGCTTGGTTTAACATTTTTCTTAAACTCCCAAACGGCAATCTGCACACCAACCTTGTATACATGAACTAATTAGCCATGCATTAAGTCAAACCAGTAGTGGCATATATAAAATATTTAGATGCCTTTACACGCTAATAGTGAAAGTAATAATAAAAATACAAAGTCCCCATTTTGTTATGTGCTCCAAGTGCTGCTAACTTGATGGATGTAATGTAAAGATAACACACCGGCCTGCAGTCATGCCACATAACACCAATTATCAAAATTAGTTTATGAGTTTCATTTCCACTTTCTGTTCTGTCAAATTATTTTTGTTCATTCTTTCATTTTATCAAGGGGTAAACTGGAAACAGAATTACCACTGAATTTGCTGGAGGACTTCCTGACTTTTTTAATATCAGTTATTTTTTTCTGCTCAGTCTAGGGCTTTTTTAATGTTTTTCTTTTTTTTGTTCTTTCTCTTTTTATTTATTTTAGAATATAATGATACTGACTCTAAAATATCTTGAATTATATTTTTTCCTTGTCTTATATAAAGCTCCAACTCGGTTTTACACAGACTCATCAGTTATTAAGGGAACCATGTCTGTTTTACAACATAGAAAAAGTGGGATGTGAGATAAAAGGGTGGAAGATCTCAGTTAATGTTATTAGTTCAAAGAGTCTGTTTTTGGCTCCTTAAGTGTTTATTGGAAATTAGTCTGCCTTAAACAGAAAGGTAGAAATACCCCCAACAAAAGAAGCAGCTATTATGCAATGTTCAGATATGTCGGTGCTGTCCATGGTGCTAAAAAGACAATAATGCAAAATCCACTTTTTTTAGTCTTTGAATATATTTTGTTGCTCATTTGGAATCTCAAGGAACAAAGAAATGTTTAAATTAGCCCTTACATGTGTTCTGTGAATAGCTTTTTGTTTGTTTAGCCAATTAATTAAATCTGTTCAGTGTTCTAATTTTCTCTTTATGTTTCTTAACAATAATACCTTAGCTTCTAAGGTAAGTACTTCTAAGGACTTCTGTCTTACAAGTTTCTCAAATCTGCCAATTTCATTTCTCTTTTTTGTAGTCTACATTAAAGAATTACTAAACTCTAATTTAAATTGTTCAGTTGTTTTGGGTATGAATCCACACAATTTATCACACCGTCCCCCAATGTTCTTTAAGTTAATAGTTACTTGGTATGGATGGAATGTGTGTTAACAAAGTTAATCTGACCACTGTAGTTCTGATGCTCATCATCTTCATTGTCCTCTAGCTCTGGGTCATGGCAGGGTGTAAATCGTCTAGTTCTTTTTAAAGAAGCAGACCAAAGTGAACTGTTAAAAGAGGGCCTTGGAGCTACAAAAGTGAGGAATTAAGACCAAAGCATTCCAGTTCCACTTTATGTGATCACAATCGAATATTTTAAAAGTAAAAAACAAAGTATTTAAAAACACAATAGGTCCATTTTAAAACTAAATTTTGTTGAATTTGAAATTTTTTTTGTGCATGGTGGCACTGTTGCCTTGTCGCCAGATTGTTTTGTGTTCAAATCCTGACTAGGGGTCTATTTCCATGATGTTTCATTTTGTTCTGTGGATATCTGGCCTCTCCCTCTATTTCATCTACTCTCAGATTAATTAGACTCTCTAATTGTGTGCCGGTGTGTGTGTGTCTGTTGGGGTGGTGGTGGCTGGGGGGTTATGTGTGTATGGTTGTTTGTCTTTAGTGTGTCTGCATTGTGCTGGATAGAGTTGCAACCTTTCCTGGTGACTTATCTCTTTCAATAAATCCTCCTGCCCTGACTAACACAGACTTCTGCTGCTTTAGTCACATTTAGTTGTTTATTCAACTAACGGGGCAAAATTTTGTTTTAAATAAACACTTGGTATGCATTTAGTCAATTTAAATAATATCCTATCTTATGCTTCCAGTAAAACTAAAGCTAAGAATACGCTTGACTTAATCCTGATTGCGATTCAATTTTATTCAAATTGGAATAAAACAAGATAAACAAAATACGATAGCTGCATGTATAATCCACAAGAAATGGTGTCTGATATAAGCTTGACTTCATTTATTACTGCATATTTAATAAGATGAAGAAAAAACTATCAAATTTGTGCAGCAAGTTAAAAACAAGCTGTCTGAATTGCACTTTGTTCTTTTTAAGGTTCAATCTTAATCTACAAATAAGCATTAATATTATAAAAAAAATTTTTTTATTTGTCTTAAAGCATTGAAACATTATTTTAAATCTCTTGGACTTTCATCTCTACGGAAGCGTATTGCATTCACCAAAGAAAAGAAAAAAACACCTTATCACATAATTACGAGATCAGAATCTCATAATTACGAGATATTATCTCGTAATCATGGGATCTTTTCTGATAATTACGAGAAAAGATCTCGTAATTATGAGATCTTGTCTATATATTTGGTTATGATTACTTGAGCCAGTAATGAAGCATCTCTCAGATGCTTCATTACTGTGACAATGACACTCTCAGATCATGGTCTTCATGATCACTTCTTAAAAATATCTGTATCTGTTCCACTGAACAGTTCTTTGTTCAGTAGTCTGTCCTGTGGTCTGTCCTGATACGCATTGGAGCTCCGCTCCTGTTTTCCACCTCATCAATAATGTATGCAGCTATAACCCTGGGATTACTACTAGTGGATTAAGCAAGAAGCCTTATGACCATACGCGAAAATCTGTCAACAGCTCCATTAATACGTATGGTTTCCGTATGGTTTTAGTTTTTCATATGAATCGACATGCCACATAAAGTTGGGACCTGGTTGTTTTAAACGAAAATTCAGAAAAGAAAAGCTGAATTCTGGTCTATTTACTGAACACTGGCCTTATTTGCCCCGTCTCCTATTGTGTCTTCTGCAAGTGGGTGGCTGTAAGGGTTGTGGAGCAGAAAGCTGCAGTAGCTGCCAGGGGGCAAGTACAAGCAGGACCCAATTTATCCCAAGTAATAAACATCCCCAATCAAAATCCACCACAGTACAAAACAACATTGTGATCTTACTGTGCTTGGACAGAACATTTATATTTTACCCTAAAATATTTAAGATTAATTGCTCTATTTTTCTGGCATTTGTTCTTCTCTTAGATGATTCTATGGTGACTAATATTAAAATTCACAGGTCATAAAACTTTTACAGAGAGTTGTCCTAATGTCCTAATTGGCAGCTGTCAGCTTTCACTCTTCCCTGATGGTTATAAATAGTAGCTGCATTGATGGAAACTGTGTTACCAGAACAGGCTCTTGTGCCCTCCTTAATAAGATTCAAAACAGGAAAACTAAAACGGTAAATTTAGGGCAATGATGCAGTGAAGAACAGTTGGAGGATTAAAAACTGTATGTAGTTTAGAACAGTATGGAAGTTTGTTAATTGTGTATACATGCAGCAAGTACAGTAGAGAAATAAAATCATTAAAACAAAACATTTCACAAACTTATACAGTAGAAAGATTCCTATATCCCAATGTAAAGTTAATGGATCTGCACTTTATTCTTTACTGTCTGCCATTTCAAGAAAGAGTTCTACTTCTTTTTGCATATATACTTATTACAGAAATAAACACAGTATTTTTTTAAAAGTCTAACGATCAACTATCCACCAACACTTTTAGCCAAAGAACAGATGCTGCAATGCCCTTAGTTATATAACAGTAATTGCTGATCTTTTTATTTTTTGTTAGTTTTTATGTCAACACACTAATATCATTCTGTGTCTGCCATGCCCTTTCCTGGCTCACTTTTGAAAATTCAGCATCCTCAGCATTTACCGTCTGCCAAAATCAATCAGATCAATAAATCGTTAATACATTTTAAAAAATAGCAACAACAACATTAAAGCTCCATAACAAAGCCCTTGGATTCCAATCTACCATCTATCAGAGCACAATCTGGATCTCAAAGAAAATCATTAAAGCAGCATCAGCACAGTCAGAAAAATGATCTGACTCTTGGAAAAAGTACCGATTGAACATAATACTAGATAAACGGTTTCAGATTTATCACTTTACAACCATGAACTTCAACAGATTTTGATGTAATACACCAACACAAATTATTACACACTTGAGAAGCAGATATAGTAGCTACAATCTTCAAAGAAAATAAAAAAATAAAAACTTGGAAAAGTTTTTTGTCTTCATCCCCTGGAGGCAATACTGTATTAAATCAGTCTTCTGCTGTGATTTGGGAGTTCAAGCTTCATCAGCTTTGCACATCTAAAAACCATTTTACTTGTTTTTCTTTTAAATACAGCTCAAGCTTAGTCAAACAGGGAAGAAAAAAAAACATCTGAGTGGCAGTTTTTCGAGTCTTGCCAATTTTTTCCCATTGAATTTAGGTGTAGACTTTGACTAGGCCACTCTGGAGCATTCCATTGTAGCATATCTACTGTATGTTTGAGGTCATTGACCTGTTGAAGTGTGAGCCTTCACACCAGTCGTGTTGTTGGGATCCTCAGGCTTGCCCACCAGAGGGCGCCGAGGATCCTCTTCTGCTCTCTTTGTTTTTCCCTTAGGTTTGGAGTTACTGTGGGGATCTGGAGATTACCCTCCGTCTCCAGCAGGATGTGCTGTGGGTCTTCTGGAGCTGGAACTTTCCTGCACACCTGTTCCTA